GGAACCACAGGCTTGACTAGTGGCAGCTACTGTCCCAGATGTGTTTATAGTCTGTCCCTTGCTAGGCTGNCTTTTTTTTTTTTTTTTTTTTTTGGTTCCTCACAATTCTGAACAGCACAAGAGAGAGACAATGTGGTCTTGCTGGCCTGGTTGTTTTCCATACAAGAGGTCCCACAGCCCAGCCTGAATTCCACCACACCAGGGGTGAAAGGTGGTTGGCAATGGTGCTGATGGTGCAGGCTGGCAGCTACTGCATTTGAGGCTCCCCAACCTGCTTGGGTTTTCAGCTGCGGGCACAACTCCTGCCCTTCTCCTACTTGCTCAAAGAAGTGGTTCTGGGCAAGAGGAAGGAAGCGTGAACACCTGGAACCACAGGCTTGACTAGTGGCAGCTACTGTCCCAGATGTGTTTATAGTCTGTCCCTTGCTAGGCTGTGAGCAACTCAAGGACAGGGACTCTTCTCACCTGCCACAGAACCTCCAGGAGTGAGCACAGTGCTGGGCACATGGCCGGTGCTAAGTGGAAGTTTGTTGTTAAATGGGAAGAGGTAGTCATTGAGGAGATCGGGGACTAAATTCTTTAAAACAAAAGAAAAAGGGGAAAGAAGAAAGAAAGAGATCCTAGCTCATCTCAAGGGCAAGAACCCAAGGGCAAGACTCTGGTCTGTTCTAGGCTGGAGTGAGGACAGTGGGTACAGAACGGATCACCTTCTTAGCATGTCCAAGGAAAATTCTGCTTTGTCTTACCTTGTGGGTCCCTGACTGGGACAGGAAATAGGTGACTACATCTCTCGCCCACCTGAGGTGCTGATGACCTTGGCAGAAGAAAGGTTTACATCAGGGCATCCTGGGAGAAGGGGCTGGCTCCTTCCACGACCTTCCTTAAGATTAGATGGTTAATTTCCCAGATCCTATTTAAATTCTTGTCAGGGATATTTATTTATTTATTTATTTATTTATTTATTTATTTATTTTTTTATTTAATTTGAGAAGGAGGGCAGAAGGAAGATAAATTGATAAAGGAAGGGGACACTTATGGCCTCTGGCCTGGCCTAGAGAAAACCCAGTGCTCATTAATGGTTCTTCTCTCCTCAGTGCCCTGGTAGTGCAAGAAGGGACCAACTGGGGGTTCCCACAAACTAAATAGGGTACAAGAGGTGCAACTGAAAGAGAAAAGCTTCAAATTCAGGCTGGAGATTGTACCCAGACCTGGGGTTCTACACCCCCCAATACTTTCTCATCCTCTGGTCCATCCTGGATGAGAGCGGCAGTGGAGCACCAGGACAGCAGCTCCAAGGTAGTGTAGATTTTGAAGGTAAACAGAAAGGAGGCCTGTTTCTGCTTTTTATTAGCTGTGTGCCCTTGGGCGAGTCACTTAACCTCTCTGAGCCTCAGTTTCCCCATCTCTAAAATGAGGATATAAATATCTACCTCCCCTGGTTATTGTCAGGATTAATGAAAGGAGACCTCTGGAAGTATTCCTGTAATTGCCAGACATCAGAGATTGTTATTCTTCAAGATGAGAGGCTAACTTAGGTCCCTGGAGGTGCCAGCGTCAAGGAGATTTCCCACCCCCTCTGCAGTGCCTGTTCCTTTCCCAGCCTGGATGCAAGCTTTAATTCTTCATTCCCAACCCCCACGCTTCTCCTTGAGACCGCCTTGGTGGTCCCCAGAGTCTGAAATTTTGCCTTTTTCCGAGGGCGCTCGCATTCGAAAACCACTGGGGATGCTGGCACCCGCGCAGAGTTGGTCCAGGGTGGGACGGGTCTCAGGAATGGGGGAGGGGTCTCCGCTGGACTGGGTCTGCGCCCCCTGCCCTGCTTTGGGGTTCTCATTTGCAGATGGTTCCCTCTGGTTCTCAGCTCTTCTCTGGGCTAAATAGAGGGGAGAAACAAGGGGTGGGGGGCCTGGAAGGGGGTTCCCACCTTCTCAGCCGGGAACCCGACCGTGGACGCAGCCCTTGCGCCCTAGTGCTGCCCTGTTACGGGTCTCCAAGCTGCGCTCACAGTTGCTGACAATCCTCCACTCCGAGATTTGGCCCCTG